TCTAAAAAGATCAATTTCCATAGAAGAAATAGAGAGAGTGGTTTAAAGAGCTCTCCTGTGCAAAAAGCAGGGGCACATCCAGACAGCTTCCCAACAGAAGTCTCCCAAACTCGGCCTCTTTGGGCCAGGAAGAGGAAGAAAGGCCTCGACGCTGGCTTCGTGGAGTACAACACTGACCTCAACTTGGCAAAGACTGCACCCAAAAAATGACAAGGTAGCAATCAAAAATCATCAATAAGATACTAGCAAACTAAATCCAAAGCACACTAATATCTATATATCATGACTAAATGGAGTTTATTTTACAAAACCAAGGGTGATTCTCTATTAGGAAATCCATTAATACAATCAATCATGTTTTTAGAGCTAAGAAGGAAAATCATACGATCATCTGAGTAAATGGAGAAAAGGAATCTGAAAAAACCCAGCACCCATTCATGCTAAAACAACACTCAAGAAAATAGAAACTAAGGATTCGTCCTTAACATCATAAGAGTGTGTGTGTGTTTCACCTCCTAAAGGCAACATTTTGTTTAATGGGGAAACACTAGCTTTTTCACTAAAATCTGAAAAAAAGATATATAGCCTGGTGTGCATGTATACTTATCTTTATTTTCTGTCTTTATGTAGATAAAGCATATCCAAAACATAAATGAGTAAAAGTGTAAAGTGTTTCTGAAAGACAGAAAATTAGTCTTGAAGAAATGGTAATACTTAATATATTCCTGGATAAGAGGATTCAGCATCATAAAGATGTCAGCTGTCTCTAATTCATAAATTCTATGCAATTCCAGCTAGACAAGTTGATTATAAATCATTTGGAAGGACAAGCAACAACAGCCAAGAAAACACTGAAGAAGAAAGGATGGAGGGCCAGCCCTAACAGATAACCAAACCTACCAACAAGCTTCTATAATTAAAGCAGCCTTGTGCAGAAGAAAAGCACACATTTAGACTACCCTGGGCTATCATTTCTTGCCTGCAAAAGTGGCAAAGATTCACAATGTGACAACATTCTATTGGTGACATTGTGGGAAACTGTCGCAGACATTGCTGACGAGAACACACAATGGTATACCCCCTGTGGGAGAGATGTGGTGATACCTGGTCAAACCCCAGAGGCATTTACCCTCTGATCCAGAGAGCCCACTTCTAGGGATCTAGCTCACAGAAGCTCTGGCAAAAATATGAAAATATGTCTGCAGAAGGCTTTTCATTGCTGAATTATTTTCATAGCAGGAGACTAGAAACAGCAGGAGATGGTTGAATAGACTATGGTACCAGCACGAATGCAGTGTGCAAAGATGGGACGAAATGGAGAAGGCCGATACATACCACTTTGGGGGACGTGGGGATCTGGTGAATGTATTTTGCATGTGGGACCAATGTGAGTTTTGGGGAGCCACAGGGCACATGGTAGTCGTTTGAATGGTGGCCCTCCAAAAGGTATGTCCACCTGGAACCTGTGAATATGACCGTATTTGGAAAAAAGAGTCTTTGCAGAGGTAAAGATCTTGAGATGAGATCATCTTGGATTAACCAGTGGGCCCTAAGTCCAATGACATTCGGTGGGTTTTTGGTGAGGAAGATTGGCCCTGAGCTAACATCTATGTCAGTATTTCCTCTATTTTGTATGTGGGACAGCACCACAGCATGGCTTGACAAGTGGTGTGTAGGTCCGCACCCAGGATCCAAACTGAGAACCCTGGGCCACCAAACTTAACTATGCCACCAGGCCCAGCCGGCCCCCTGACACGTGTTCTTACAAGAGATGGAAGAGGAAAAGACAGAGAGAAACAGCAGAGAGGGTGATGTGAAGATGGGGTAGAGATTGGAGAGATGGTTCTACAAGCCAGGGAACGCCAAGGATTGCAGGCAGCCCCCAGAAGCTGGAAGAGGCAGGAAGAACCCTCCCCTAGAGCCTTGGGAGAGAGCACAGCCCTGCTGGCTCCTTGATTTCAGAGTGCTGGCCTCTAGAACTGCAAGAGAATAAATTTGTTGTTTTAACCCACCACGCTTGGGATCAATTGTTACAGCAGCCAATATAGATGCTGGTGATCTCTGAGATATACTTTTAAGTGAAAAAAGCCAGGTAGAGAAAAGTGTGTTTGGTGTGCTACCATTTATCTGAGAAAGGGGAGTAAATACAAACACAGACGTGTACAAATTTGTGTGTGTATACATATAGTCATGTGTATATATGTGTGCATTCCTGTATATATGCATATATATTTGTGTATACTCTTGTTTACTAATATTAAAAAATAAACAATGCAAGAAAAAAATAGGTATTTCTGAAATGGTTACTTGGAAGGAGACGGAAGGAATAGTAGAAAGGCAACAAGACAAACTAGACTCCTTTGAATACACCTTGTTTTGTATATTTGTCTTTGGAACCATGTCAATATTTTACACAGTTATAAAATAAAATTTAAAATCCAAAGTAAAGTGACACACACATGTACCTATCTGATAGCTTAGCCACACCAAAGGGAAATATGTCAAGTTACTCTAAACCACAGTAATTTGACTACACATTCCCACCGAGATATACCCGAAGGACCAAAATACCTGCGAGAAAAAAACGTGCAACGGTTTTCAGTAATTCTATTATTGCTGGTCGTGTTGGTACCATTATTCTGAAACTGTGGCATGTGTGTGTGATATGGGATAAAGCAAATGAATAATTATGTGATGTTCTATCATCCCTTTATCCTTAAAAAACGAAAATATTGTCTATTTAAAAGGCCTAAAAACAATGAGCAACCCAGTAGCAATGAGTACTCCTAGCACAATGAACCAAGTCTCCCTGAAGAAATGACCATTTCCAGGTCAGAACCATCTGGTCATCTGGGATAGCAGAGAAGCCATCTAAGACTCCAGGGGACATACACAGAGGCCCCAGGAGCCAAGCAGGAGAGGGTGCCCCGGCCAAAGATAGGGGAATTTGAGCAATAAGGATAACGCCAATGGATTAAAGCACACCAAACACAGTTAAATCCATGTGTTAATAGGGACACTGAAAAAGATTTCAAAAACCAAGAACAAACTGGCCACCACTGTACAGAGCTGGGGAAACAAGTCATTATTTTCAAAACTTATCAATAAAGGAAAAAATCAATCATTTATCTTGCTTTTCCCATATAAACTGTGCCACTGGCTAACCAAATAGCTAAGTTTCTCTTTATAGAGGTATTTCAAAGTAAACAATACTAAGTTAAAAATTGATAGAATATCATTTTGCAACCCTTAGTGAATTAATAGATCTAGCCATTGATTATCAACAACTGTGACCAATACAAAAAGAAACATGATAAGCCACCTGATGGATGAACATATCTATGTCTTGCCACCCCCCAACCTCCCCCCCAAAAAAAAGAAAGGAAAAAAAATGACATGGAATCTGATCAGGCTTCTAGATTCAACAGCAGCTTCTTTTCAGTATTTATTCATAGGAAGTAAAGTTCAGAGGAACATGTTAAACTACACCACAGAGATACAATCAGCAAAGTCCAGAACGTGGGAGAGCAGGCGACATGCAACTTTGCTTCTTCGACAAGTTTCAAGGGTGTGTACCGCAGCAGGGATAGATCCTACAGACTGAAAACAGCTACAATGAGATGCTACCTCGCACCTGCTAGGATGGCTATGATCACAATGACATAAGTGTTGGCCAGGACGTGGACAAACTGGAACCCTCATACACTGCTGGCGGGAACGTAAAATAGCGTAGGTGCTTTGGAAAACGGTCTGGCAGTTCCTCTAAAGGTTAAACAGAGAACCGCCACATGACTCAGCAGTTCCACGTTTAGGTACATACGCAAGAGAAATGAAAACACATCCGCACAAAAACTTGAACATGAATGGCCACAGCAGCATTACTCACAAGAGCCAAAAAGTGGAAGCAACCCAAATGTCCATCAGCTGATGAATGGATAAACAAAACGTGGTCTGTCCACACAGTGGGATAGTGCTCAGTAATAAAAAGGAATGAACTGACACACACTACAACGTGGATGAATCTGGAAAACATTACGCGGAGTGAAAGAAGCCAGACGCAAAAGGCCACGTAGTGCATGATTCCGTTCATGTAAAATGTCCAGCACAGGCAAATCCATAGAGACAGAAAGCAGATTAGTGATAGCCAGGGGCCAGGTGGAGGGGAGAATTGAGGGCAACAAAGGGTAGAGGGTTTCTTTCTGGGGTGACGAAAATGCTCTAAAATTGGTTGTAGTGATATTTGCACAACTCTGAATACATTACACACCAGCGTTACATCCTTTAAACAGGTGAATTGCATGATATGTGAATTCTCTCTCAAGAAAGCTGTCACCAAAAAAAGCAGAGAGAGGAAAAAATCCCAATAAATGGATATTTGGATTCTGTTCAGTTAAACAAATGGATGACATGAGACAATTAGAAAGGTGAACCCTGGATATTTAATGACATGAAGGAGTTATGAAATGTTAAGCTGTGATAAGGATACTGCATATATGTTGATTTTTCACTTTCAGCAATACATCCTGAAATATTTATAGCTGAACTGAGGTGTATGGGATTTGCTTCCAAACTCAGGAGGGGAGACAGGTGGAGGTGCAGCGGGAACAAGACGAGCCACAGCTGATCCATGTTGAAGCTGGGGAGGGTGGGGGCAGGGGGCCTGCATGTGTGTTCATTTGACTATTCTATTTTTTTTTTCTGCTTTTTCTCCCCAAAGTGCCCCCCACCCCCCCGGTACATAGTTGTGTATTTTTAGTTGTGGGTCCTTCTAGTTGTGGCATGTGGGACGCCACCTCAGCATGGCTTGACGAGCGGTGCCATGTCTGCACCCAGAATCCGAACCGGCGAAATGAAGCAGAGCATGTGAACTGAACTACTCGGCCACGGGGCCGGCCCATTGACTCTTCTATTTTTATGCCTCCATTTTTATGTTGAAAAAATTATATGCATTACATATTTAAGTCTAATTACATTTTTTTAAAAAGAACCACACATTTCCATTCTGTTCTTAAGGCAAGTTAGTTTAATTTTATAGAAGAAATACTTTCAAACAATAAAAATGACAGAGAGAAGAAGTGACAAAAACAGAGATGAATACTGATTATAACTTATTCCCACAACAGAAGCTTACTCATTTGGGCGGTGACAATTCAGTGATCAGATGAAGTGAAGACCAAATTCCCTTTTACTCGGTGCACTGTTCCTAAAGAACCCTGGTGGCAGATTTCGGACCGTCCCTGGACTAAAATTGCTGACAAAAGATGGCAGAGTTTTCTCATCACAAGGCACGGCTACAGACAAATTAAAATGTAGGATGGAAACACCCCTTAAGACGATAGGACTTCACTTTTCTGACGTGTAGGATATTTTCCGGGGGGCGGCAGTCTTAACTAGTCAGAAGCAGCAAAACCAAGTCATGAATGAGAGGCCAATGAGGGTGTTTCGTGTCCTCCTGCCTGCTTGGTGGCCTCTGTCGCTATCCCCGTGCCCTTGCCGGTATGGACGGCGAGCAGCACAGAAGCCATCACCTCTGCCTCCGTAATTTGTCTGGCTTTTCTTTCCTTGCTTACTACAGTCCCGTTCAGGGGCCACAGCAGACACATGCAGGGAGGCAGGAGAAGCAAATTGGAAAGGTGGCAACACAAGCGCTCCTTGGAGCTGCACTGTCCAGGGGCTGCATTTGCTTCTGGTGGGGCAAAGGGGCGATTTTTGTAAACCCTGGGGTCGGGGAGCACTCCAAGCAGAAATCTGTATACACTGGGCAGCGAACTCTATTTGCAAACCCTCATTTCAGGCCTTTCTGTGTTGGCACAGTGGGTTCTCCCCACATCGCTACTGAACAGGGGTTGGCAGAAGAGCTGCCTCAAGCCAGCAACCCATTCAGGGAGCATCAGGCGGCAGCTGCTGACAAGCAGCACCAGACACTGTGTCCAGGGGCCTCTCCCACCTGCTGCGGGCCGTACGCCTGAGACGAGACATGCGCCCTCCGCACAGCCCGGGCCAATGCAGACACTGCTTCCTTGGAGTGTGACGCTGCAACAGCTGTGGCAGAGAGAGGGCCTGCCAGTATCCCCATGGCTCAGCCATGCTGCCTGCCACGGCGCGTTTCCAGCAAGGACCGGTGTTTGTGTGTCTCCACCTCTGTTGTGGGTATGTATACAGAGAAATTACAAAAACAACAGCAAGACTAGAAGCAGAAATACATAGCAAGAGATAACAACAGTGCAAAAGCATAAAGTTTTCAGTCTTACCACCACTGACAAATTCCATTGTCTGTGACAGGTCGCGTGTCAATGAAAGGCTTCTACAAAATTCATTTTGAATAAATGTAAAAGGGAAGGCAGGTTATGCAAGGGGGAGGGTTATGGACTAATGAGAAGAGGGATGCTGATTAAAGGGGGGGAATTTCCAAAGGAGGGGCAGAAAGATCTAGAAGAGCGAGTTGTTTTCTTTTATATTTCGTGTGACCACCTCATTTACTTCTCCAAGGCTTCATAAAGGAGAGTGCATTTCATATATAATAAATACGTATTAGGCAAATATTTATATCATTTGGCATTTTAAAAGAATAATGGTATATTTTTATTACATAAAATTTTTTTTCTCATGAACTACTTCTAAGATTTCTTAATATTGGGTAGACGCCAGTATGGGAGGGGCATTCTGATTTAAATCAAATGCTCTCCTGTAAGTGACTCGCAGGGTAATTCTAGTTACCCACATATGCTTCCTTCGACAATAAAGCGCCTTCAAAGGTTATCATGGCTATGTCGTACTGCTATATCCATCAGCGGACACACTGGTTCGCTGCAAATGCACGTTCCTGGTCCTCTTCCACCTTCCTTCAGGACAGAGGAGGAGAGCAGGAGTTCCACTGCCACCTTCCCTGTAGGTCATGATCAGATGGCGCGGACTCAAAGGTGGGGCCACCTGTGGTCTGGTGAAGGTGGGCAGTGTGGGCAGTCACCATGGACAGGCTGGTGAAAGCCCAGGAGGCCAGGGGCTCTTTGGCCTGCTTCAGACTCATGGCGAGCACAGAAAGATGCAGGATAAGACAACACAGAAATGAGAGACGCTCAGTGCATGGTCCACACGGGAGGCTGACCTCTGTGATGCACACACAGCACGTGAACTATGACTAAACCACTGCAGATGGTAGCTCAACGGGACTCAAAGAGTGTGAACGTGTACAATATACGTGATAAATGCATGTAGGAGAAACTGATATGAGTGACGAATTTAGCACAGAGTGTTTGCATTTCGGGTGTCAGAAACAAAACCAGCCCCAAAGTTCCATTCTACTGCATGACAAATACTGAAGAAGAAAATTTCAGTCTTAAAATACATCTTAAAGTCAGTATTTTCCTTCAAGGAAAAAAGTACTATAAATAAATTACAATACAGTGAATTTGCCTGAACTCACTTCGTTTCTGTCTTCCAGCCTTTTAGTCAAATAAAACAGCATAAAAACTGTACACTCTTAACATGATAGTTGATCTTTTATAAAATAACCTGTCTTCAGAGATGTCAATTTCACAACAAGGGAAAACCAAGCCCTGTTGCCGTCACTATTATAAAATAGATATGTATAGATAGATGTGTGTTTTTTTTTTTTACAAAATGTGTATATTAATAGCTTTGCACAAATATTTTAAAGACAAATTTAGCTAGTCTAAGAACTTCATGAAAATAAAACAGGCAGATAAATACTTCATGTGTACAAAGCATGACATCAAACATCGTCGGCGGGCAGAGGAGGTATGCTAATCCTTGGTCTTGTAAAAAATGCTATCTTCTCCCTGGGATTGGAAAGAATGACAGGTTAGAAGCTGATATAAATGCAGTGAAACCTGGCAGGGGGCTCTCATATCAATGAAAGCTTTTCTTACTCATAGAACCAATTGAATTTCAATCCCCAACAACACATCTGTTTGTATACAGATTCTCTAAATTTTTTTTTTCTTGGTGAGGCAAGATTGGCTCTGAGTTAACATCTGTTGCCAATCTTCCGTTTTTTTCCCTTGAGGAAGACTGTCACTGAGCTAACATCCGTGGCAATCTTCCTCTATTTTGTACTTGGGATGCCGCCACAGCATGGCTTGACGAGCAGAGTGTAGGTCTGTGCCCAGGATCCGAACCCGTGAACCCTGGGTCACAGAAGCAGAGCATGGGACCTTAACCACTACACCACCAGGCTGGCCCCATAGATTCTCTAAATTTTTTTTTCTGCTTTTTCTCCCCAAATCCCCCCAGTACATAGTTGTATATTTTAGTTGTGGGTCCTTCTAATTGTGGCATGTGAGACACCACCTTAACGTGGCCCTATGAGTGGTGTCATGTCCATGCCCAGGATCCGAACTGGTGAAACCCTAGGCTGCTGAAGCGGAGTGCACAAACTTAACCACTCAGCCACGGGGCCAGCCCCAGATTCTCTAAATTTTAACAGAAGTTATGAAGTCTCACGAGGGCAAGGGTTTGTCTGTCTCCAGTGCCTAGAACAGTGCCTGGTACACAGCAGATGCTCAGTAAATATTTGCTTTATTAATAAATGAATGAAATGTAAACCTATATAAATTAAGGAGTTCTAAATCATAATTGAAGGAAGATGTTATAGTGTTTTATTCTTTTATGATATGGACATGAAAATTCAGGGTATAAAACAATTAAGGCTAAAAGTCAGGCACATATTATTCAGCCATAAAAAGGAATGAAATTCTGACACACACTACAATGTGGAGGAACCTCAAAAACATTACGCTGACTGAAAGAAGCCAGACACAAAAGACCACATACTGATGACTCCACTTAGATGAAATGTCCGGTATCGGCAACGTGGTAGAGACAGAAGGCAGACTGGCGGTTGCCAGGGGCTGGGGGTGGGTGGAATGCAGAGTGACGCTTAATGGGTATGGGGTTTCCTTTTGGGGTGATGGAAATGTTTTGAAAATAGATAGAGGTGGTGGTTGCACAACATTGTGACTGTACTAAATGCCATGGAATTGTTCACTTTAAAATGGCTAATTTTATGCGATGTGAATTTCACCTCAACTTTTTAAAAAGTCAGACAGAAAAGAATATAGATATAACTATGTAATTCTCCTCATATAAGAAGCAAAGCCAGGAACAACTAATCTATGCTATTCAAATTCCAGATGGTGGTCACTCGGGGGTGGAAAAGCTGAAATTGCACATCATGTTGGATTCTCGCCATGTCGAGTTGGTGACAGTACAGACGTGCACATTTCCCTGTGTGTACAGTACGCTTCAATCAAAAGGTAACTAACAAGGCAAAGGTGATATGTGTTTGTGTTTGTGTTTGTGTGTGTGTGTGTGTGTGTGTGTGTTAAGTCACTGCGTTGTCTACAGCAGAAAACACTTGGAAAGGAGCAGGTTATAAAATAGAGTAGTTAGGTAAATTCTATCTATTAGATGAGACTTTATAGCTAAAAAAGGTAACAGATTATGTGGCAAAACAGGATATTTTAATTAAAAAAAAACGAAATGCAAAATTAAACCTACATTAAGATTACAAGTTGCACTTTGGGAAAAAACAGTGCCTAGGAAAAAAAGATAGGGCAACATCAAAATGCTAACAGCAGCGGAGATCTTGTTTTGTTCTCCACTTCCTGTGGTTTTGTTTCAATATTTACTCACTCACATTTTTATAACGATAAGGAATCCTAGTAAAAAGCAAGCAAGCCGGCGGGTGGCTTCCCTCTCTCCCTACCTGAAGGCCTGCACCTGGATGGGCTCTTTGTGGTTCCGCCCGCGCAGCTGGCAGACCCCTTTGGAGGCCTTCTTCAGCATCTTCTCAGCTGCCTGTTCTTGATGGAAGTCAAGTTTGGTCTGTCTTGTCTGGAAAAGCAACATTGGATGAACAAGATGTTTTTACTTCTCATTTTAAAGGAGAATGAACGAAGCCACTCGCAGCTCTGGGGACCCAGTGGGGAGGCCCACTCCATTCACTCCCCCCAGGGAATCTTCAAAGGAGCTTCTCAGGGTGACCGGGGTCATGCCTCACAGACAGGGAACACAGAACATCCCACCACGAAGCGGGCAGTAAGGAATGAGAATGCTGGCAGGAGGGCCCGGGGACCCCTCCTCCAGCCGCCCCCCATGCCCGGCAACTGCAAAGCCTCGAGATGTGTGTTGGTGCCACCACGGACACCAGGCGCCTGGCATGGAGGAAGCAGCCCAGCTCCTTGAGATGAGCATTTGGATCATTTAAATTACAGTTTTATCATCTGAAATGCTTACTCAGAATCCAAGTACAAGTGGAGAAAAGGGCAATGACTGTGACCAGGAAGGCCTGAGAAGCCAAAGGGACCCTGAAGCAGGGCCCGGGCCTCTTACCTGCCTCTCTGCTTCCTTCAGCAGACTCCGGAATCGCTCATCCCGCAGCACCCAGTGAGGGAGGTCGGTCTGGCCTCGGAGCTGGGCGTCCTCTAACCGCTGCCTCAGTTCTCGAAGAGTGCAGATCTCCTCGTTCAGCTGCCTCTGCCGCGTTCGTGACGCCTGGAGATCCAGCTCCAGGTCCAGGGAGGTGCGGGCCATGAGCTCGGCCACGGAGGACCTACAGGACTGCAGGAGACAGCAGCTGTGAGCACACACTAACTAGGCATACGGTGCCATTCGGCCAGCCAGCTCAGGCCTTCTAGAAGGTTCTTCCACAATTAATGGAAGACAGGTGAAGCACAGTTATTGGAGAGGTGTTTCTCTACACATGGCCCAACGTTGAAAAAAAAAAAACATAGATTGGAACTAGATTAATTTAAAACTCCAGTTCAATATCAAGTTAGTGACAGAAAATTGTTTTAATGACAACCTATGTATGGAGAAATAGACCCCTCTCATATGGGACTGGCGGCATCAAAAATGGGCATAATCTTCTGAATTACTATTTGACAATACATATCGAAAGCCAAAAAATGTGCATTTTCTTTGGTTCTGAAATTTCATTTTGACTTGCATTTGAAAGGCACAACTGATGATGTGCAAAAGTGATCCAATTAAGATTTATAACAGAAAAAAACCTAAGTATATACCGAGAGGAAACTGATTAAATAAATTACAAGGCCAGCATAAAATGCAGCCATTGTAAAAAGCTGAAAATATATTGACATGGAAAATCTTAAATGACCCACTGTATAAGGGGGAAAAAGCATGTCATCAACTATATGAGTGATTTTTGTTTAAAAAATTATACCTCCACACCCATTCATGTGCACACAAACACACGCAGGCTCCCTATATAAGCCTCAAGTAAGCAAATCTGCTGTGGTAAGAAAAGTCTTAAGACGAGAAAAGAATTTGCACGTGGAGTTGGGAGCAGTACTTCCCACTCAAAGGCAGACAACCCTGGGAAGGGCAGTTACTGCAACAAAATCACAAACCCATCAGCACATCAGTGCGTTCAGTGGACTGAATAACTCTATCCTTTTTACACACACATAACATTATTTTGCACATACACAGAATTTAAATGCAAATATATGATGTGACTTAGATACGCATTCATTGAGAAGCACTGCTGAATGCACAGCAGAGCTCAGTGGTTCTCAGCCACGGGTGACGGCCCCCCAGGGGACAGCTGGCAACGTCTGGAGACATTTGTGGCTGTCACAACTCGGGGGAGAGGGTACTACTGGCAACTAGTGGGTCAAGGCCAGGCACGCAGCTCAACCTGCTCCAGTGCACCGTCCATAACGTCAACGGTGTTGCTACTGAGAAACACTTCTGCAGCTGTATTACGTCTTTTCTTATCATTCTCAGTTGGCAGCTACTCTCAATACAACTGCCGCATGGAAATCGGGGACCTTTTACCTTTAAAAGAATCCTTTCTTGGAAAAGACTAGGAACCACTAGCTTACAAACTAAAAGCAGCAAAACTTTGTAAATTGGTGTGACGTGGAAAAAACACGTGGTGGGTAAAGGAAATGAAAACCTAGAACGGTCCTATATAGAAGAACTCTACGTTGACAAACAAATCTTCTGAACTATACATATTCCTGTCGGAAAAGAAAACAAATCTCTCACGCAGAATGGTCGATTGCTTATTATTACGTATGTTATTAATTTATTATATTTTTAAATGTAAAGATCCATGAATTATCTTAGATCATGACATTATCTTAGGAAATTAAGAAATATTTGTAACATTTGACATTATATATGCTTTTAAAATTCATACCTAACAAGGAAATAAATATATTACCTTCTAACTAATATTGCCTAAAATATTACCTTTTAAGGGTTATAAAAACAACTCCCAGGGTAAGTATGCGCTGCATATTAGTTTATGTGGCACCCACCTGCTTATAGCGAAGGGTTCGTCTTTCCAAAGTATTTCGGACAAATGGGGACTTCCGGGGCAGTGTTGAACTGTCACTGTCACTGCGATAAAGCTGCACCAAAAAGAATGATGTTCAGAAGCACGTTCTCAGAAAGGCAGTGTTCATTCCCCCTGTGTCCCCTGGACTGGCTCACTGCCTTCTCCTTACAGGTACTCAAACACCCTGAGGACTTTCAGGGCTTTGACCCCAAGACTTCCTGTGTCAGTTAAAACACAAGAGCTTCAAGTAAATCAACAGACAAACAAAAACAAAACCAACCAACCAACCCACCCCACACCCTCCTTCAAGTCCATCAACCAAACCATGTGACGTTCCCAAGCTAACCGAGTCAACACAATCCCTGTCAATACCAACTGCGACCTGATAATACGTGTGACGCTCAGGAAAGCCACCACTGTCCTCGGCAATTTTTCACTTGTTAGCAATCATTCTCATTTGCTCTATTTCTGGCTTGGCAGGAGGTGGGAAAAAATGGCTTTCCAAAAACAGGGACTCGTTCCTGGCAGCAGGACAAGCCAGTACCACTGACACCCACTCTGCTGGGCAGGGGAAAAGGTCTGCTTTTAAAAACAAAAAGAAATAATGCGTTCTTCATGACATTTGGTGCGGGTTCTCACTTCAGGATCAACGTGTATCTGTGTGAAAGCCAAACTCCTTGCCTTCGTGGCCTTACTTTCCATGCCAATTGACCTGAAATACTTCGGAAATACCATGGCACAGCAGTTTACATGCTCCCCCGATCACTATCAACACATGTACAAAGAGGCCTCTAAAAGCGTCGCCAGTAAACGCATGCTTTTATGCAGGGCGCAGAACACAGCACAGCAGCTGGACCCCCTTGTCTGGGGAAGTGAAGGATTTCCTCCTTTACCACCCTATCCTTCTATTCACTAAGCAGCCTTGAGTCTGCTCCGCGGTGGTTTGGTAAGAGTCTAGAATAAGGAAGGGATGTGAGGACAGCCCTGGATCTAGCACCTCGAGGTGTTCAGTTAAGCATCGGCCACACAGGGTTGCAGCCTGATGGGGTGGGAGTGCCTGGGCCTGACCCTGTGCTACCCAGGGCAGCCTTGACTGGGACTAAAGGATTAACTTTGCCCCAAGAAAGGTTTGGTCCTTGCCCAGCTCCTGGGAAGTGACCTGTAAGCTCCCGGAATGTCCTAAGTGTCTTTGTTTACCTGGGGACCTTGGGCCAGGCCACATGGTCTCTGCTAATGATGTGATTTACGGTGGGGGCCCCGGGCCATCAGCTTGACCTCTGGAGGGGCCGGAGACTAAGGTGAGCCATGCAGGCAATGAGCTATACAGTTCTCAACATTAGAATCATCTGGAAGCATCCCAAAACTCTGATGTCCAGGCCCACTCATGACCAGTGATGAATCTTAGGGGTGGAACCCAGGCACCAGCATTTTGTGAAGCTCCCCAATGTGATTTGACTGCAAGGTGTGGCCAAGATTGAGAACCACACAGCATCTTCTGCCATCACCCTCGGGGTGCGAAATTACATGTGGGGGAGTCAGAACCCACTGCCTCAGCACCTCGAGTCTTCAAGGCTGCTTTCTTCCCTGGGACCCCCGACAGAGCTACACTTCAGGACTTCTAACCAACCACTCAGTGACCCGACTTCTCACTCTCAACCCAATTCAGGATATTCCCTGTTCCAACTTGTTATTCCTTAGCCTGATGTAGAACTGATCCACTCAGCTTCCCGAGCACAAGTTGCTGCACACACAGGCAGACCTGAGAGATATTGCACGTTCGGTGCCAGACCACCACAATAAAGTGATTGCACGAATTTTTTGGTTTCCCAGTGCATGTAAAAGTTATGTTTACACTATACCGTAGTCTATTAAGCATGCAATAGCATTATGCCTAAAAAAGCAAAGTACATACAGTAATTAAAAAATAATTGATTACTAAAAAACGCTAACCATCATCTGAGCCTAGAGTGAGTCATAATCTTTTTGCTGGTGGGGGGTCTTATAAAAAATACAGTATCTGCGAAGCACAATAAAACAAGGTATGCCTGTAGAACACTGAAGATCTGGGGAGAAATAGCTTAGAATCCTGAGTAAATCCAGAGTCAGACATGCACGGGGTGAGGGGGGAGATGAAACCACACCGATTTCATATCCACACATGCATAACACTCATTTCTTGTATTATTTATGGAAACACATACGTCTTTTGGTATAAATAGTAAAAATAGAACACAACAAAGGGGAAAAAAAAGAAAACACTCCAGACGGGCGGCAAAGGAATTCCAACTTACTCTGCAAACATACTGGCTTCGTGCTCCGGGTGAGAAAGTCTGCGACCGGACAATTGTGCTGCTCCGAACGAATGGCGACCCGCGGGCCCTCCGGCTTGGCCTCTCCTTCGGAAGACTTGCTACTTCTTCTGGGAAGAGATCTTCTGTGTTGGTTTCCTTATCAACCTAGATAGTAGTTCATTATTACCATGACTTTTTCTAGAACATAAGCAATAAACTTCATGTGAACCGTCCTTGCCTTCTCCTCCTGGAGTTCTAAGTGGCATTTCATACTTAACATGTCCAAAACTGAATTTCTGATGTTTCCTCCCCTACACGCACGCCTCCACCTCTTACAAGGATCTCTATTCTCCATTTGTTTACATGAAAAACATTTTCCTGTCATCCTGGATTCTGCTCTCTTTCCCACTCCCCATATCTTGTCCAAGATCAAATCCTGCTGGCTCCATGGTGGAGATTAAGCATGTTTTGACCACCTGTCGCCAGCCCTCCATCTGGTTAACATCATCGCATACCCGATTAGTGCAGTAGGCTTCTCCCTAGTCTCCTCAGTTCCACACCTCCTTCCCCCTTTAATGTCTTCTCAACACAGCAACCAGGCAGATCCTGGTAAAACTGAAGTTAGACCTGGCAACCCCACTTCTAGGCATATACCCAAGAGAATTGAAAACAGGTGTTCAGACAAATACGTGCACACCAACGTTCACAGCAGCATTATTCCAACAGCCAAAAGGTGGAAACAGCCCACATGTCCATGTACAGATGGAAGAATAATAAAAATGTGGCACACCAATGCAAGGGAATACTCCTTAGCCATGAAATGGAGTGAAGAACTGACACACACTACAACGTGGATGAACCTTGGAAACATCATGCTGAATGAAAGAAGCCAGTCACAAAAGGCCACGTACTGTTTGATTCCATTTACACGAAACATCCGAAATAGGCAAAGCCATAGAGAGAGAAAGCAGACCGGTGGCTGCAGGGGCTCGGGGAGAGGGGATGGGGAGTGACTGCTCGGGGTGAGGGTTTTACTCTGCGGTGACAGGAACGTGCGGGAACCAGATAGAGGTGGTGGCTGTACAACACTGTGAACGCACTAAACGCCCCTCAACTGTTCACTCTGAAATGGCTCGTTTCACTTTATGTGAATTTCATGGCAAAAAATTATTTTAGAAAAAAAAATCAACAAAAAGCCTTTAAGTCAGATCATGTCATCCCTGGGCTCAAAACCATCCACCAGTTTCCCAAGCATCTCAGAGAAAATCAAGAGTCCTGAATGGGCCTTACATGACTAGCTCCTTCACTCTTTCTGTCCTCAGCTCTCACTCCCCCACCCATGCCGCTCTCGACGTGGTTCTCTTGCCAGCCGCCCACCCCCGGCCTCCACTTGCAGCTCCGGGAATGCTCGCTCGTCCCAGGCTGTGCAAGGCCCCCAAGCCTTTTTCCTTACGGCTTCTACTCAAAAATCGCCTTCTTGGTGAGGCTTCCATGACCTCTCTCTCCTCTTTATTGTAAAAAAAAACACATAACAGGGGCCGACCCTGTGGCCGAGTGGTTAAGTTTGTGCATTCCGCTTCAGTGGCCCAGGGTTTCATCAGTTCGGATCCTGGGTGCAGACATGGCACAGCTCATCAGGCCACGCTGAGGCGGCATCCCACACAGCAGAAATAGAAGGACCTACAACTACAATATACAACTATGTACTGGGGAGCTCCAGGGAGAAGAAGAAGAGAAAAAAGAAGACTGGCAACAGATGTTAGCTCAGGGCCAATCTTTTTTTTTTTTAATTTTTATTGAGTTAATGATAGGTTACAATCTTGTGAAATTTCAGTTGTACATTAATGTTTGTCATTCGTGTTGTAGGTGCACTACTTCACCCTTTGTGCCCACCCCACCTTTACCATGGTTGCCACTAATCTGTTCTCTTTGTCTACATTTTTAAATTCCTCACATGAGCGGAGTCATACAGAGACTGTCCTTCTCTATCTGGCTTATTTCACTTAGAATTCCCTCAAGGTCCATCCATGTTGTTGCAAATGGGACGATTTTGTTCTGTTTTATGGCTGAGTAGTATTCCATTGTATATATGCCACATCTTCTTTATCCATTCATCTGTTGATGGGCACTTAGGTTGCTTCCATGTCTTGGCTATTGTAAATAATGCTGCAATGAACACTGGGGTGCATAGGACTTTTGGAATTGCTGACTTCAAGCTCTTTGGGTAGATACCCAGTAGTGGGATGGCTGGGTCATAGGGTAGTTTTATTTTTAACTTTTTGAGGAATCTCCATACTGTTTTCCATAGTGGCTGCGCCAGTTTGCATTCCCACCAGCAGTGTATGAGGGTTCCTGTTTCTCCACAACCTCTCCAACATTTATTACTATTAGTTTTAGATATTTTTGTCATTCTAATGGGTGTAAGGTGATATCTTAGTGTAGTTTTGATTTGCATTTCAGCTCAGGGCCAATCTTAAAAAAAATAAAAAGAAATTTTTAAAAAAACAGATAAAATTCACTATCTTAACTACGTTTCACCATACAGTTCAGTAGGGTTAAATACAGTCACACTGTTGTGAAATAGATCTCTAGAACTTTATCTTCCCAAACTGATACTCTGCCCCCTCTCCCCCACCCCTGGCACCCACCCTTCCACTTCCTGTCTCCATGAATTTGATTACTCCAGGGACCTCATTTAAGTGGAATCATACAGCATTTGTCCTTCTGTGGACTGGCTTAGCTCATTTAGCACAATGCTGTCTTCAAGATTGATCCATGTTTTATAGTATGTAACAGGCCTTCCTTCCTTTTAAAAAAGGCTGAGTAACGTTCCATTGCACGGCTAGACCACATTTTCTTTGTCCATTCATCCACCAATGGACAATTGGGTTGCTTCCACCTCTTGGCTGTTGTGAATATTGCTGTATCTCGTGGAGACCCTACTTTCAATTCTTTTGGATACATATCCAGAAGTGGGATTGCTGGATCATATGGTAGGTCTACTTTTAATTTTTTTTTCCTGAGAAAGATTTGCTCTGAGCTAACATCTGTTGCCAATTTTCCTCGTTTTTTCATATGTGAGCCACTGCAACAGCATGACCACTGACAGACGAGTGGTGTAGGTCTGTGCCCGGGAACCGAACCCAGGCCACTGTCTGTGGAGAGTGCTCAACTGAACCACTAGGCCACCACGGCTGGCCCTATTTTTAATTTTCTGAGCAACTTCCATACTGTTTTCCATAGAAGCTGCACCATCTTACAATCCTGATCTTTCTCAAATAAAAATGCAAATTTCTATTTCTAAATGTAACCCATTTCTAAAACAGTAAATCTTTCTTAAATGCAAACCCTGCTTCCCTACCATCTTGTCCTCTAGCTGCCCCTCTGACGTTCTCACACACTGCTGTATTTTATTGATTGACCCTGTCTGTCGCCTGTCTCCCCTCAAGGGCGGGACTTTCCATTTATTTTCTTCGCTGCTGCCTCCGCAATGCCTAGCACCACACACACGGAGAGAGAGAATGCAGGTGTGACGAAGAACTAGCTGGGGAATCCAAGTGAAGGGTATATGAGTATTCACTGTATTATTCTAGCAACTTTTCTGTAAATCTGAAGTGCTTCAAAATTTTGGGGAGAGTGGGACACACCAAACTAGCCTCCCTCAGCCACTCCCCGATTTGGGTCACTGCTTTTAAAGGTCTTAGAAAGCCGAATAACAGCAATTACTGGCAGCCTAGTCCAGGATGACTCCTCCCAAGGTGCTGTGTGTGCTGTCCTTGGGAAGCTGCCGAGGGGGTGGATTTCCCTTCCCTCAGGACTTGTGTTTTGGGGTGAGAGCAGGGGCCATGGGGATAAAATGTTTTGATGAGTTGAACAGTTTGGGAACAAAGTTTCAACAGAGCATTGATTCAGTCTCTCACAACCTCACTGGGTTCCTTAGACATTTGCCACTGCAAACATGAAAGATTTCCTCTCTGAAGACATGTGATGAGCACAACCGAGGTCAGGTGAACAGGAGGGCCAAAAGGACGCTTCGCCATGCTTAACATCACAGAGGGAGAAAAGAAGCTACAAGCATCCACATCCTGAGCCACACGTGGCCCTGAAGATGGGAACGGAGCATCACTCCATTGGCATATGAAGCAGTAAAATCTACCCTCTTCAATGGCAGTTGTCCTTTCCTTTCAATTTACAGTTGACAGACAGTTCTATGGTAGCTGCTATGCCCATTTCAAGCCATTGACAGAACTGAGGCCAGTCACTTCTTTTCCTCAGCTCTTGGTAAAATACTGCTTTAGCTATCGCCCCCTAATCCAACAGCACTGTCCATTTTATACCATAGCTTCCCCACCGCCATTGTCCCCCGCCGTGTCTGTAGGCAAGCCACCTCATTCTACCCCGTGTATGAGCCTATCAGCTTCCGTTTCCCTTGGTCCCTCTCCTCCACCGACTCCCTCCTGTTTCACAGAGGATGAGGGACATGCTCTCCCGCCTGGTGCTGTGTGGCAAAATGGCAGGGGCCCCATAAAATCCCTTGACCTTTTCTACTTACCTTAAGAGGTGGGGGCTGACGTTTCCCGGGGCTGTAAGGATCTGTCTGGCCAGCAAAGGTGTGTCCATGGATGGAGTCGACACCAACGCAGCAGGGCTCTGGGTGTGGGGGGCTGGTCTGGGTGCAGCTGCTACAGCCACTATCGACCGAGTCGGCTTGCCAACTCCTAAAGCAGACATTGCAAAAGCCCACAAAACGGGCATCAAGGGACTGGGTGCCCTGCTGCCTTCAGAGCACAGCAGCAGAGGCTCCCAATAAGCCCTGTCTGCTTCCAATGATTGAAGACGGCTGCTTTTCTCGTAGAGTAAAAGGGCATTGATGATTTCCACGTAAGACGATGAAAGACACAGGGCTTTCATTAGAGGGCCTGTCTGTCTTTATCACCCAATTGCAGCTGCTAAAGATGGGAGAGTCCGGAACCTCCTCCCTGAGCCCCTCCCAGCTTCCGGCCAGCCCCTCAACACAACAGCCTCCCCCTCAGCCATGCACTTTCCCTCCCTAAAATAAATTCCCTTCTAAAATAAATCCAGGGAAAGCTATTAGGAAAAAGCAGGAAGCTTTGGAAATATGAAGCTCTTTATGGAAAAACGTGGAAGGAAAGCAACATGAAAGGGTCTCGAAAGGATCAGATAGAAAACAATTCACTCAAGCAGCCTGTTCATCTGAATTCTTCCTCTATTGCAGACAGGTCTACACTGAGTCAAGGATTCCCCAACAGGCTGCTTCAGGTAAAATGTAAAGGGACACTGCAAGCTTCCATTTAGATAAAACGCCCAGAATAGGCCAATCCATAGAGAGAACAAGCATATTAGCGGTTGTCAGGGGCTGAGGAGAGGAATGGAGGTGACTGCTAACGGGTATGGGGGTTTTTTTTGGCACGATAAAAATGTTCTAAAATTGATTGTGGCGATGGTGGTACAACTCGTGAGTGTACTAAAAATCACTAAATTGTCCACCTTAAATCAGTGAATTTTATAGTAGGGAGATTACATCTCGATAAAGCTGTTTAAAAAAAAAAAAAAAAACTTGGGGCTGGCCCCGTGGCCTAGTGGTTACACGTGGCACACTCCACTTTGGCAGTCTGGATTCGGATCCTGGACACCGACTTACACCACTTGTTGGCGGCCATGCTGTGGTGACAAGCTACATACAAAATAGAGGAAGATTAGCATGGATGTCATCAGGGAGAATCTTCCTCAGCAAAAAAAGAAAATAAAATAAAAACAAAAAAACAACTTAAAGGGACCTTACTGTCTTCAATCCTGGCAGAGTGGAGTCACATGACAGTCCCACTCTGAGACATTCCGGAACAGAAGGAAAAGGTGAACAGTCTGCCCCGAGAGTTGGCGGACAAGGTCAAGGTACTGCCCTCATCCAGATCAGCATTAAATTCCCCGTGAGAATCCTAACTTCTGGGCAATGGTACCGAAGAATCGCCTAGCACATTCCACAGAAGCGTGGATGAGAAATGCAACTTGCACCCAAAGATCTCCGAGAGAGCCAGGGCTGACTGACACACTGGCCACCTCCTCTCCAAGAAAAGGTGCTTCATCTCCCCGGACTTTGTGAAGGAGCCTTGCCCAGGGCAGTCCCGCTCCAAGCTCTCTAACCTCTCAGAAGCGGCCTCGGCCTGTTCCTCCTTCCGCGCCATCTCCAGGACCCCCTCCTCGGTGCTCTCCAGCTTCGCCTGCTCCTCGGCCAGCTCTCTCTCTACTGCCTGCAGCTGCGCTGTGGTTCTGGCCAGCAGCACTGTCACCGCGTCCTGCGGGAGGAAAGGGACATTTCTGAGAACCAGCTTAGACCCACAACTTCTCACAGCACAGCAGAAAGCAGGCATGGGGCACACCCCCAAGTGAGCGTCCACCCCCCGAGACTGGTGGCCCTCCTCAACTGCTCTCGAGCGGGAAGAAATCCACCCCGTTGTTCACAGCAAGACAGTAACTTGGCCTGTCTGTGTAGGTTTCAGGGCTCAAATTTAAAAACAACCAACCTGTCACTCACAGTCATGAACAGGTCTGCATTAAAAGGTATGTCAGTTCTCTGGCTGAATGAACGGCCATATATATCCATACGAGCCATTTTCATCACTTCCCTTGAGACTCTGCTTCTTCATCGCCACTATGTTTTAAGACTAAGTCTACATGGATGCTTCTTAGAAATGACCTCCCCCAGTAAAAGCCAGTCTCAAAGTCGGGAAGCAGCAGTGGTCTGCTCCGTAGGCCAGGCCCGTGTACCGTCTTCCCGGGGGCAGCGCGCACGGGGTCCCAGGCGGATCCTTCTCCGGCCCTCGCGCTCTCCCGGGCCCTGGGCGGCTCGGGGCTGGTGAACACCTGGACCGAGTACCAGCGCAGCTGCAGCTCGCTCGGACCGTCACAGTCGGCCAAGTTAATCTGAGCAATGCCCTGCACGGGTGTGAACAAAAGCAGAAGAGACACCAAATGATTTCATTTTGACCCATGGGGAGCTTTTAAAACATCAAGGTCACTCTTCAGTCTTAACCAGAAAGGACATAAAATGTTTCCTTGCTATTCAAAGAACTGTAAAAAAATGAAAGCGCTTGTGGAGGATCCTAATGGGGGCAGCTCCCGATTGCTTCTTCAGCCTAAGAACGTGCTAGAAGGAGAACAGGGGCAGAGAACGGACAACCTGGAGGGGTGAGTCAGGCTCAGGTCTGCCACTTGATGAGTTACTCATTCCCTCAGGAATTTTTGAAACAAGAGAGGACTGGCTGAACTCTTCAGTCTCTAATTCTGCAACTGAGGGGGCAAGATCAACGGGGAAAATTCCACTCTAGAAAGAAAGCCCACCCCGCCACCAGCTTCCAGGTCCTAGCTCGGCAGTGGATAGCTGGGGTACTGAAGACAAACTGCAAACCTGTCAAGTCTACGGGTGCCAGATAAAATACAGGGCATCCAGGCAAATTTGAATTTCAAATAAACCATGCGTTTTTTAAAAAGTATATCCCAAATATTGCATGGAACATACTCATACTAAAAAACCATCCATGGTTTATTTGAAATTCAAATTTAACCAGCCATGCTATATTTTTATTTGCCAAATTTGTCAACTCTACTTAGTTCTGTTGACTGAAAATGGGGATAAATATAGAAGCTGTCACATAGGAGTTTTCTAAGTATTAGTTGAGATAATATATTTAAAGTACAAAACACTTGACAAGATAACTGGTTTTATCATCTCCTTCTGTAATATTATGATAATTTCTAAGCAACTCGCCACAGGAAAAAGGAAGGAGGGGAGAGCAGGAAGCAGAGGAGAGGAGGGGGGGGGGTGGGGGTGGGGGAGACAGCGAGCCCTACCAGCAGTTCTTCCTGCAGCTGCTGGTTCACTGAACACACGTATAACTGCAGTGACTTCAACGTCGACATGCTTGAGTGCACAGGGATTCTGAAAACTTCGTTAAATACCAGGGGGGCCTGGAATTCCAGAGCCTTGGAGCAGTAAGTGTTGGGCGTGCCGGAGTTGAGCGGTGGCAAATAGACGCGGATGTGACTGGAACCAGGAAGGAGGAGAAAAAAGCAGACAGAGGTCATGCTTATTGACAGAGCTGTACGACAAAATGCACGAACCACGCACACGCATACACATTGCCCTCTTTGGAGGCCCATGGGCAGAATTTCCAAGTCTTCCAGATAAAGTCCTTTTCTCAACTAGGAGTAAGCAGAAAGAACCTAGATGCCGCTGGAGATCAGGGCTAAAAACCCCACTAAGAGGAAGACCTTAGAAGTCAGTAGTGAGGACTTGAGAGGGAGTCACACAGAGCTTCCGCTGTCCCCATCTTTTGGGAAACATCTGCACCGGTCTCTCCAGGGCCCCTTGGCTCCCGCTCTTCAAGCTCCGCCCACCTCGCCTCTCAGACTGTCTGCCCACTGGGCTGGCTGTCCTGCCCCACCCGCCCCAGCAGGGAAGTTGGACCCGGGAAAAGCTCAAACACTGGTGAATGCTGCAAAGGACACCACGGGGGTGAACAAAATCCCAGGGGGAACACTCAGGCACTTAAAGCCAGGCTGCTTCCAAGGCCTGTAGAAGACGAGTTTCTAAAGAAGGCTCACGGAGGGGAGCACACCCTCGGGCCTGAGTGAACCATCACAGGGTGCTCAGCGGCCTAGGTAATGGGACCCTCCGTCAGGCACCCATCTCGGGCTGCCAAGCTCAGAGGTAGCACCTCCCAACTGGTGACAGCACGTCTTTCCTTCTCCCCTCAGACAAGGACCCCTGATCCCAGCCAGAGGCTTCTTCAGGTGCCTCAACGGATCACAGAATCTAGTGTGGCCATGTCACTGCCCAGTCCCGTGACCACGATGGACATTTTAAGCCCAAATGCTGCCAATGATGGGCTCTTGGCACTTTCTTAGCATCGCTGTGGCACATAATTAGCCTGGTTCCATTAGCTCCGTCTGCTTCAAATAATAAACCAGACTTTTGTAAAACTTACAATCCCATTTCAGACCAACATTCCCTGATGTTTTATGGTAAATTCAGGTTCTAAAACAGTCTTTTCCCGTCCCCAAATAGCCAAGCAGAACAGATCGGCGAGCGGTGCAGTGTGGAGGCGGCCTGGGAGAGGCCAGCATCAGTTGGACACAGCCCCTGGGTCTGCGAAGGAAAACGTGTCGGCCCTCCCTGGCCCGGGAGCTTACATTTTGCAGTCTTCCTTCACCACCAGCCCGGCAAAGTTCCTCAGTTGGAGCACGTTCACGAGGAGACATTCGCTGGCACTGTCGTGCCTAAAAAATAAAACGCAAGTTCCTAGAGAGCAAATTCCCCATAGTGGAAAAACCCTTCTGAGTGAACTACAGCAGTGGCCCCAACTAAGGGTGATGTTACCTGCCCCGCCTAGGGGACATGTGCAAAGTCTGGAGACATTTTTTACTATCATGACTGGGTGAAGTGGGGATGCTACTGGCACCTAGTGGGTGGAGACCAGGGATGCTGCTCACCATCCTACAATGCACAGCACAGCCCCACATAATGAAGAATGATCCAGTCTCAAATGTCAACAGTGCCAACCGTGAGAAACACTCAAGTGGAACGACAAGAGTGAGTGAAAGAAAGCTGCTGGGGTGGGAGCACCCTGACTTGCTGGATGAACACCAGTGGTTACCACCTTTACTGAAACCGTCATCAGAAACCAAAAAGCCTCCTGTTCTAACCACCTGGTTACTACTCAGGGGAGGTGGGGAAGGGCCTCACTGTCTGTGCCGCAGTGAACAGAATCCACTCCAGGCAGAAACGTGCCGTAATGTCCCCAAGCCCCCAGCGCCCTGAGGTGACAGCTCCCAGCTGTGACTGTCAGTGTTGGAAGACAGCAGCGGAGCTGCTCTTCCCCATCCCTTCTCCTGCCACATTTGTCCCCCCACCTGAGACCGGATGAAGCAGGATGGGGGGTAGCCAGGCCAGGGAGCAGCACCCAGATCACATGGGTCCCTCCTGGCCTGTGTGTGGAGGTGTGAGGGGCCGGGCAGGCCCCAATCGACGCATCATATTTATGAGCAATGGGGAAGGAGGCTTCTGTACTCACAAAAATCCAACGTGAATCTGGGGCCCTTCATTATCGCAAACGTCTCCGCGTGCAGACTCTTCAGCATCTTCACTCCTGAGCACGACCAGAAAGTCACTGGGGTTATTCCAAAGGGAAGTGAATATCGCAGGTGGGCAGAAGCGCTCGCATGCCGGGGGTGCTCTTACTGAGAAGAGCTCTATCCAGTTGCGACTTAAATAAATAAATTATTCCAGTGACTGAAGGGGCACGGCCGGCCCATCCCTGGGATCCAGGACACAAATCTCACTGGGTACCTGCCTACAAAGTGCTATTGTTTTTGAGAAAACAACTTTGCATACCTTTCAAAAATACACGTGATATTCATGGCAAAGTTCAAAAATTAACTTTTTTTTTTTAAAGATTTTATTTCTCCTTTTTCTCCCAAAGCCCCTCGGTACTCAGTTCTATATTTTTAGTTGCGGGTTTTTCTAGTTGTGGCATGTGGGACGCTGCCTCAGCATGGCTTGATGAGTGGTGCCATGTCTATGCCCAGGATTCCAACTGGCGAAATCCTGGGCCGCCGAAGCAGAGAGTGCGAACTTAACTACTCAGCCACGGGCCAGCCCCAAACATTAACTTTTAAAAAGTTTGCAATAAGTGAAATGCTTGTAGATACCTGAGATGAAACAATGACATCAAAGATGTCAAATCAAAATAAAGCCCAGAATCCCAAAAGGTGTTTTGGCATTGCAAAGGCGGGGAGGAAATTCATTCCTAATAAATGTCCTTTCTAGAAAAGCAGGTCTCTCTCGTACGCTGATTCTCCTTTTCTAGCTTTACTGGGCTTAAGCCTTAGATCCACCAGGGCCAGAGACAAAGAAGTCGTTCTAGAACCATGGAATGAGGGCCAGCGCCCAAACGCCACACAGAAGCCAGAGGAGGTTTCTTTGCAGGTTGCTCAGGCCCAGCCTCCAAAGTTGAGAGAAGCCAGGAAAAGCCCATAGCCCTGGAGCTCCACACGCGGTTTCAATCCGTAGGAGTCCTGGGATGGCTGGCTCGCTCTCTCTCGTGCTTACCAGTAACACGGGGGCTGGCTGCTTAGGGAGAAGATAAGAAGATCAGCTTCTAACCTTTTGGGTGGAGGTTCAAACACGCCACTGTCACTTGCCAGCGAATAATCTGAGAGGCACGCAGAAACACGGCGCGCCCTCCTCTCCAACCTCTTGGCGCTGTCTTCTCGAAGAGTCACTGCTACAAATAAGAGACACACCGGGGTCAGAAGGTGGCAGCACGTGAGGCTGGGGACAGTGGGGCCAAGATATGAACACTCTATGTTCGAGCACATACAAAGCCACTAAGTGTTCCAGAGACACGCCACTGTATGGACACACACATCTAAATATGCTGCACTCAATTTTTTTTTAATATTGAAAAATTGAAGAAATAGGCTTTTGGCTACTTCTCTAGAAGCTCTTCCAACTGTCATAAATCTCTTTTCACCTCCTTAACGGGTACACAGAACATAAGATGATGGTGGGAAGCCCCTTCATGTCACACTTTGAGAGACTGTCATATGCAAAGGCTGGGAAAGAAACGTTACCCCAAATGCAGAAGCAGCTGCGCGCTCTGAGCGGCGGGATAGGGGTATTTTTCAATTCCTTCTTTATGCTGTGTGGTATGTTCCATATTTTATACAATAAACAATAAACATATGCTATACTGTTTTATAATCAGAAAACAAAACTTTTAAAAGTTATCCAAATCAACTCTAACAAAATGTAGTGACTTTCATGTTAGAGGACACAGCGAACCAGACTCAGCCTTTGAAAACACCTCCTCGACAGTCTCTCTCTAATTACAGCATCCTCCCCAGCAGCCCTGGGGCCAGATTTGCTTCCAGAATTGCTTTTCTGGGGTTAGCAAGCGATCATTACAAGGCAGCTTATTTTTGTCTTGTATCTATTTTAATCGAGAGCCAAAGATAACCACTGACATCTTTCCTTTTATCATTTCATCAACTCTTTCTACTCCTTCCCTCACAACAAGTTCCTTTTAACAAAAATAGGCATGTAATCGTCCTATGCTAAGTGTGACTACGCACACAGGAGCCTCAACACTTTCCAGAGAGGCGTCCTTGGTTAGAATGCAGGATTAAAACATGGAGCCCCAAACTGAGCCATCCTCTGCCATCATGACATCGCCTGTTAATAACACAGGTCCCTCTCTTCTCTGTTCTGTGCTTTTCTTCAGCTGTCTAAGCTCTATAAATCGCAAATCCAGACATCTATGCATCCTTAAGTTGAGGGAAATAGCAAGTCCACCAACGACCATCTCTCTTTTCAACCAAAGCATTATTCACATACCAATTAAATCCAAACATGTCACACAGTGGGCAAAACAGATGAGGCTGTGGCCTTTAGTCTCACAATCTCAACTGCAGACAAAAGCTGATGCTCCAAAGGTCTGTGATGCCAAGCCTGGGGGACTGCTGGCTCCTCCCCGGTCAGGGACAGAAGCTGGCTCCATTCTGGAGTGGCCGGAGGCACCAGCTCTCCAATTGTAGATCAGGAGTCCCAAGTCCATCTCTCCTGGTCACCCCCGCCACATAGAAGGACCCAAAGCCCCCAGCTCTAAATTGCTGATGGACCCCTCGGTTTGCCTCATGGATGATCCCCAGCAAACCAGACAGCTTACTATGTCCACTCCCAGCCCTGACACTTGGCACGGCTCCTAGACATGGTCTTACATTCCTTTAAGGAAATGCCACCATGCAATGACCCTAAGCACTTCCAGTTAACCCGACAGTGCAACTGTGACAAAGTTTCTCTGCCACTGCAATGAAGGTCGATGAAGAGAGAAATGAAACAAAGGACTTATTCCTCAGTGATCCTAGGCTTAGTCACTGCATTCACAGAGCAACTGGAAGCAGAGCTGATGGAAGGAAGGACGGTCAGCAGTTGCCTTGGGTGAGAAAGAAGCGCATAGCAGACCCCACGCTACATACCCCAGCCATCTGCTGTCAGGCTTCAAGGCAACGAGAACGAGATGGACCAGGGGGAGCAATGCCAATGAAGTAAAGACTCAATCTTCCAAATGCTCATTTAAAAAATCATTAAAGACAGACGCGTAGACAGACACTGAGACCTGAGGGCATCAACACTGATTGACAAAAAGGAAGAAAATCTAACGAAAATCATGTTGTGGGCAAAGCTGCCAGCTGGCATATTAAAATAATGAAAGCTATTAAAAGTCTGGGGAAAAAAATACATAGAGGAATGAATACTTCAAGCTTTCAGAAAAGTTCTTACACAATTTTAGCAGCCATGATGAATATTAATGTTGAAATAATAATAATAATGGTAACTGTTGAGCTACATTAAAGTGAAGCTATGAGACATGGCCTTCTTGGCCACATCCAGCCCATCCTAAATACAGCGATTCATCGCGCAAAGATGCGCCACAGCCTGACCAGGAAGGTGAAGGAGAATTCCAAGGTCACTTACAGTGAACTTTCTGTCGAGCCGCATGAGAAAAAGAGATAAAAAAAAAAGCATCAAGTGAAAAAAACACAGAATTTAAGCCAACAATTTTAAACAGTATGAATATAATAAAAACGTAATAAATAAATGAGCAAAGTCAAGGTTTTCACGGATTTATATTAGCAAATACCAATGGGAAATGAAAATTGGAAAGGATTTTAAAACCATGACATTTGACTTTTAGAATCCAGGGAAGGTAATAATGTAAAAAATGTTAAAGATGACAGTCTATTTCCCCACTCCCTGTCCTGCCTTCTGTCCCCTCAGACTGATTTAAAACACAATGGAAGAAATCATTCCTAGAGCTTGCCTTGGAGGGTTGGGCAATTTTGAACTTCATCTTACTACAATTTTATCTTGCTAAAACTTGCCTGAGGTCAAACTTGGACGCACTGTTTCTAGCCAGACTGGAATGGAAAGCTGGTGGGAACTATGTGACCTTGGGCGTCACAAATGAGAGGCGGAGTACTAAGATCCTCACCAACTTTAGGAAGGTTCGATGACTCTGGGCTCAGAGCACCAAGCACCAAGGGAGGCACGGAGTCACCCTGTGTCCACACCTGAAGCTGCTTACCCAACCCAACCCTCTGGGAGCACCAACCAGGATCCATTCACTGAGTCAATTATTTCTAGTTTGCGAGGACCCAAACCAACTGACAGTGTCACACAGAAATGCACCATCAGGTGGCAGTATCTGACCATGGCATGAGCAAATACCTCCCCGTCTAAGAAGTTTGAAGCATTATAATGTCAGTCACAGAGTAGGAAGGAAATATAAAGAAATCAAGATCACAAATTAAGTCAGCTCTTCTCCTCCAACCCTGTCTTTGCCTTGGCCCAAAATGGCCCTTGGGCCTTGTGTGGGTTTTCTGCTTAACGAGACTGACACTGTTGTATCTTGTCCTTTAAAGAGAAGTTGGTTACGGGAGTTGGGGGTCACTGAGAAAGTAAGCTTAAGCAACAGATGTGCAATTCAGTCCTTATTTTGTATTTTCTTTTTTGAATGAAAGGAATAAACATGGACCATTGAACCTGTGATTATGAAGAAGAACAAAACGAATTAAGGTCACCTGTATATGTGAATTACAGAAACAATAAATCTAGGGATATGAAAGGTACGTTTGCAAGCAAAGAGGAGAGACATCAAAATAATAGAGATGCCAAAAAGCCACGGGACTGCCTCAGAACATAACAGATCTCTGGTTAAACATGTAAGTGCTAAGACAGACTATTATTTTATACAGAGATATACACTAACTAGTGTGGTCGCATATAAAAAACTCATGGGGAACAGAGTGGTGGTGAACAGAAGAGCCCATAAAGATCCCCTTGTTCAAAGGCAGCGAAGCTGACACTCAGCCATGCCCAGGGATGCAATCAAGGTCACCCACCTAGTCAGTCAACCGGGCAGGGAACAGAATCCATGTCTCTAAGCTGCTAGTCCAAAGCCATTTCCATAACACCATCCTGGTTTTGTATTCACGTTTGATTTCAACCCTTTGCTGCTAAACTACTCAACGGTATGTGGCCAGGGTTTCCCTGCCTGGACACTATTGACATTTTGGCTGGATCATTCTTTGCAGTGGGAGCTGTGCTGTGCACTGTAGGATGTTGGGCAGCATCCCTGGTCTCCACCCACTAGATGCCAATAGCACCTCCCTGGCAGCCCTCTCAGTTGTGACAACCAAAAATGTCTCCAGACATTGCCAAGTATCTCCCAGGGGGCAACAATGCCCCTGGTTGAGATCCACTAAGCTATACGAATTATCTACTGTTGCCTAAATGGAATGTCTAAAACAGTTCTGCTGTGCAAAGAAAAGTTACTTAAATGGGCTAAACTTCAGGAATGAGAGATCTCATTCTTGATCCTCTCTAAAGCCTACGGAAGTTAAAGTTGCTGGAGGTTGGCTCTAAAAAGCACACGGGTCAAGATGAGGAGGGCTGAGGTCCAGGCCCTGCTTTGTGCACAAGCTATGAGCCAGAATATTCTCTAGAACAGCAGTTTGGTTTTCCATGTGGACAGACCCTGGCACCAAGTAGAAGGTGAATGGACTCCAACTGGATGGATAAAGTTCGCTGTGGCTACACGTTTCTCGATTTGAAGACCACCAGAGAAATTGATTTGGTAAAAATGACTGATCCTTACTGGCATGTCTTTTGAAATTACGCCAATTATTTTCATTTCCACTTTCGACAGAATTACGTCCTTGAAAACTAGAAGGACAAAGGATGAAGAGATGAAGTCACAGGGACAAAGGAAGTGGAGATTTCCGCTGGGCTACAACCAGACACCTGGTCTGAGGCGGGCACACACAGAATGTTCCATCTGGACACATGCCCTGGAGAGTTCATTAAGGCCCTCGTACCTCTTTATCAGCCTCCGAATGTGGAAGACTATGTGGTTCTTACCCTCATTTTCAACAATTAAGCAGATTTTGAAAGCAAGCCAAACACCTGGGAAACACTACTTTGCTAATTTCAATGACCTTTCCAGGACACAGACTGGAAGGACCTACAATGACAGAGCAGGCCAGCGCTCTTCCTGAGCCTATCAATAGTCCTAAACTTTAAGCTCACTATGTAACAGAAGAGCCAGCTGACTTCAGTGCAACTGCACACGATTTCATCCCTGAATTTGAAACCTTTCTACCCACGACTGGGAAAACCACAGGACTTACTTGCGCCCGTGGGAATGGCAGCCACTTGGGGTCCTCGCTCTCGAAGTCCTTCCCCATCCCCGGAGAATCCGTGTGGCTGAAGGGATGCTGTGCCCGGCGAGTCTTCATCCCCCAAAGCAGAGGCCTGAGCCCGCAGCCTGTCTAGGGTGCCCAGGCCTGACACCTCAAAACTGTCCCCCAACTGGGCCAAGGGCGAGTCGCGCGAGGCCGGGAGGAAGGGCGTGTCCAAGGGTGAGCTCGGGGGAGACAGAGAGGACAAGGAAGAGCGAGAGGACAAGGATGCCAGGGACTGGGGCGTGTCCAGGGAGCGCCTCTGCTTGTGGAGGCCCGAGGGGCCTGGGGGATCGGAGAAGGTGGCATCTCGTCCCAGGGAGTCGAAGGGAATCAGGTCAAAGCGCAAAAGCTGGCCGCACTCGGTGTCGGGTTTTTCGTACTGTGGTAGGCCGTAGATGTCAGTGAAGCTGACCGAGCTCAAGGAACCCCGGCTGGAGGCGAGTGAGCCCCGGCTGGAGGCCAGGGACCCGCGGCTGCTCCCCGAGGATACTGTCAGGGTGCTGGCAGACAGGCTGAAACGAAAGAGCCCCGTGATCTTGGAAGAGCAGCCTGAAGATTGGTGCTGCAGCCCTGCTATTCTCCACTGCAAAGCTGAGCGTCTCGTCTGTTCCAAGAGGGAACAAAATCCTGCCTCATTCTCCCATTAACCCGGCATGTCTTTAAACACCTGTGAGCACTTTAAGGCAACTTTATTAATATTTCCTTTGTTTCTTTTGAATGCCGGTAGAGAGCAGCGGTTAACATCAAGGACGCATGCCTGAGCTCAAGGGCCGCCTCAAACGTGGACCAGCTGAGTCCACTTGTTCAAGTTATTTGCCCTTCCTGAGCCTCCCACGTTCTCGCCGGGGGCTGTGATAATAACTCTTCCTACTTCATGGCACTCCTAGGAGGAATACCTGAGAAAAGAGGACATGGAAAGCCCTCGACGTGATGCTTCACAACACAGTCAGTCCTTGAAAACAGGAGCTATCACTGAGCAGCCAAATTTTATTTTAAAAATATTCATATCCCTCAAAAAAACCCCAAAATAAAAATGCCTATGTGCATATATAGACATGGATATATATACTTCTGGAACTGAATTACAAAATCTTTGGATAAATTTGACTTCAGACTTGTTATTCTGCAGCCAAATTTGGTGCTCTCCATATTCCGTGAATCATAGATTAGCAGCTCCTCTTAAAAATATGACACATCCACTTTTCCATTCTGTGTTTACACCACTTCAGGTTCTAAGTTCTGGTAGAGAAAACCAAGCTAACAGGAATTATGAAGTTCATGGACACGTCATATAACATGATAATTAAGTATAGCTTTCTCTTTCAAAGTTACCCACCTTTTTAACTGGGACTGGAGATAGGATGTTAAGCGGGTAGCTTCTTCCAGCTGCATAAGTAGACAATTTCTTTTTTCCTGAAGCAGAATCCTGTAGGTAAGAAAATAGTCCACTGGTGGATTTCAAAGATAGCGAGTATATTTTCCTAATGAGAAATTCAACTATAAATTCCCCCAAATTGATTTAAGTTTGAATAACTAAATTTTAAAAAGCACATCTAGGTCATAAACACCAAGATGACAGAGACTGTTTCTGTCTTGCTTGAAAATGTACCCCTAGCACACTGCACAGTGCCTGATACACTGTAGAAGGTCAATGGATGGGCAGGTGGATGGATGAATAGGTGGGGGGGTGGATGGATGAGTGGATGGGTGAACGGGTAGATGGATGGACAGATGGGTGAGTAGATGGACAGGAGAAATGAATGTGTGGATGGATGGACCGATGGGTGGACAGGTGGATGGGTATAAGGATGGGTGTGTGGGTGGGTGGATGAACACACCAATGGATGCGGGACTAGACTAGAAGATGGATTCAAACGCAGAGCATGTAGTAATCTACTGGAATTCCTTGGAACAAATCAGATTCCCTCATTCTAAGCCCTCTCCCAGACAAAACTACATGCAATTCTAAAATCTATAGAATTAAAAGATTAGACACAAATAAAACAAAACAGCAACTGTCACAGGATTGGAGGTAATTTTTTTCTTCTGCTTTATTATTTTCTAAAATGAATGTTCTTCCACTGTACTAAGTCTACCGCCTAAAATAGAGCCCAACATGTACAGGCACTCGATAAAGAGTTACTGAATGAAAGTATGAATGAGTATGTTTGCCTTTAAAACACAACAATCCTTGTTCACAAATCCAAAGGGTGGCATTGTAACATGTGGCCAAGTAGGCACCCTTAAAAGAGCTGCTCTTGGGGCTGGCCCTGTGGCCAAGTGGTTAAGTTCGCGCGCTCCGCTTCAGGCGGCCCAGTGTTTCGTTAGTTCGAATCCTGGGCGCGGACATGGCACTGCTCATCAAACCACGCTGAGGCAGCGTCCCACATGCCACAACTAGAAGGACCCACAACGAAGAATATACAACTATGTACCAGGGGGCTTTGGGGAGAAAAAGGAAAAAAATAAAATCTTAAAAAAAAAAAAAAAAAAAGAGCTGCTCTTTCCTTTCAGCATCCTCCCAATCCCCAGTGATACTCACTAACCCGGCTCCAAGTTTCTGACGATGATGACACGGAAGCCAAGATGGGCAAAGAATGGGCCCAGGCAAACAACTGGCACACTCAGCCCTAAGATGCCTACATTGGCCCCTCTGTGCCTGGCTCCACACCGGGTCTCTTCTAATGCTTTGCAGCCTGTTCCCAGGGAAAGCCTCCTACCTCAGGGCCCCACGCTTTCCATCGTCAGGCACACCTCAGACGAAGGGAGGCGGCATGGAGAAACGCTCCTGCATTGGCCAGGCCCAGAATGTCACAGCTGAGGGAACCCTCGTGGGACACTTGGCCCCATCGCCCCACCGTGTAGCAGAGGTAGCAGACAGAGAATGCTGGCGGGAGGAAAGTGCTGGGCATGAAGGTGCTTATTAGCACTATGTATGCCCCTCCTTGCCCAAGGCCCTTTAGTGGCAGACTCAGGAGACACATTTGGGCTAACTCAGTCCCAGGTGAGGGCTCTGGACCCCAAGACTCAGCTCCTGGGCTGGTCCCACAAGAGCCCCATCGGCTGGATGAGCTTAGGTGACCCAGCCCCTGAACCCAAGCATCAATGGTAACATTGGCTTTGTGGGGTTCTGTGGATTTGTACCCTGGGACCACAGGACTCATGTGGGCTGAGATGTCCAAACAGCAAGGACAGAAACGGTCAAGGGTGTTTGGGTGTGGGGTCCTGGGAAGCAAGTAACATTCATGTGACCAAATTCACTCTCCTTAAGAGAGAACCATCTGGAACTCCCAGGCCTTCCCACCCAGAACATACACGAGAGCATACCAAGGGTAGAACGGAAGGTAATGTTGTACTAAAACATACAAAAGCACAAGAGTACAGATGAAAACTTCAATTCCATAGTCCCTTTTCAGTTTCAGAATCAACTCCATGTTTATCCTGAGTGAGGTGACAGGGATGTTATCATCTCAGGTAAACTAAAATTCCCTCCGTATAGTCCTATGAGCTGACTCTCCAAATAGCCCCACTTCCTGCCAAGGCTGACACTGCCTCCAACGTCAAGACACAGACCCATCTATCGATTAATGATGACTATCCAAGCATAAATGACCCCCAACAAATATGGACAACAATCCTGACATTTGATGAAATAAGTCATAAGGGCATCTGTACTGATCAAATAATTGAGGTGACTACTAAACTCTTTTTTTTTTTAAGATTTTATTTTTTCCCCTTTTTCTCCTCAAAGACCCCCAGTACATAGTTGTATATTCTTAGTTGTGGGTCCTTCCAGTTGTGGCATGTGGGACGCCGCCTCAGCGTGGTCTGATGAGCAGTGCCATGTCCGCGCCCAGGATTCAAACAGACGAAACACTGGGCCGCCTGCAGCGGAGCGCGCGAACTTAACCACTCGGCCATGGGGCCAGCCCCTACTAAACTCTTTGTAGAGAATGCTCAGGTAGAGACAGCTTAGGACTCTGTTAATGCACTGAATTTTAAGGAGCCACTGTATTATCAAATGTAAGGTGGGCTCCCCAAAGCCCAGCAGATGTCCACGGATAAACTTCTGATAAATTTCTGTGAAACTGAAAGCAGATCTGGCCTTCGACACAATCTGTGTCACACACATGGCACACAACAAATGGCTGGGCAACAGAGGACAAGGGCCACCGTGGGCTTCATGCGTCCTACACTGGAAAAGAGCCCCAAGACAGACTGACCGCCGGGAGGCGTGTTCAGAAACGGATGCAAGACAGGCTGCCCCAAAAGAAAGAGTGGGCTTCCCCGGGAGGAAATCAAAGTAAAAGGTAGATTGCAGCAACACCCAAGATGTCAGGAATGGGGACCTCTCTGTGGCAACATCACCTGCATCTCTGTCCTCCTGCTGGCGACCCCATCCTGTCCGGGGTGCTGTCCTGCCTGCCGAGGTGGAAGCACCCAGCGCCTACACTGGGAAGTGGTGGGGTCTAAGGGGGGGGGGCGGTTCCCCTGTCTTCCCTTGTTCTATCCCCTTCTCCATCATCTCCCACCTCTGATAGGACCAGGAACCTCGGGAGCCCAGGGCAGAGCTGGCTGCTCCTGCAGAAGGGAAGGCACATGCTCTCTCCATCTCCTCCCGGCCCCGCCGCCTTCTTGCTACTGGGCAAGGAAACACGCCAGGCGGCAGCTGCCCTGAGGAATCATCAAGACCGTTCTCAAGCCGTGTGCAAGCTCTCTGATTTAGCTTTCTGAGTCGGTTCTTCACTGGAAGCCGGATCCTGCCTGCTCCCGGGACTCTAGAGGCCAACCCACCTTTCTGTGGCGCCCTGCACAGACGTGGCCCGCGCTCGCTGGATCTCCTCCTCCAAGCGCCTCCGCTCCTCCTCCAGCCGGGCCACGTCTTCCGCCGGCCGTCTCTGCTGAACGATGAGCTGCAGCTCCTGAAGCAGGGCTTCCTTCTCCTTGATGAGCTGCAGCCGGTCCCTGTCGGCCTCAGCCATGCCCGGCCAGGACTCGGTATCAAGCTGGGCCAGCTGCTGCTGGATATTCGAGACTCTGCAAGAGAGAGAGACAGAAAAATCCACGAACTTATAGATTCGTCTTCACACGTTCTCAGCACCAACATACTGATTCTGGAGACTCATTCTGCTAAGTAAACACTGAAGTTATTGCACTGAGTGAACCGTAAATGACAAAAATAAAGGATTTGGAAATGATGGGTAATAAAAACGGTTTGTAAGTCCTTTGCATAATCTCCCCTGGTCTATGAGATTCGAGATGAGAGTAACTATATCATGCTTGTTTCAAAGAATTGACAGAAAGGCTGGCAGGCCTCAAATATGCCCATGCACTATGTGGTTTCAGGTTCATGGTTTCCTGCATGGTACCATCCCAGAGCAGGAGGGAGCTACCTCGTTTCTCCCTACCCCACTCTCATCAGTAGCTAATGCTGTGCTGGACACATGAGAGATGCTTCTGGCTTCCTGCCTTCTCTGCCCTGCCTAACTGCTCACACTGCCTAGAGAAAATTCCAGGACAGAAATGCACCCATCACCGGGCTTCTGAACAGAAAGCCCCCAACACCCAGTGCTCTTTGTCTTCTAGTCCTGTCTGCTCTCTCCTGCACCAGAGACCTTGACCATGTGTGCAATTCAAAATGCCTCACAGAGAGCAGACACTCAACAAAAGCTGAATGCCTGAAGCAGTGACTAAACGCACCAGCAAACACAGGAAAGAATGAGAGTCAGCCCGGGGAGCGCAGATGTGACGAGAGGCGCTCTGGGTGGATGCAAACCAGTCAGCCTCCCTAAATGTGTCAGCATGACCACCCTCAAGCTGTAAAACTACAGACTCTACTGTCACTTTCCATGTGCCTACGTGTCCACGTGCTTGCTCGGCAAACAGCCTGCATCACTTTTTGTGTCCTGAGGCATTGCTGAATGCAGATGAAGTGTGAAAGATGTGGCTCATATTTTCAGAGCATCCTTTCAAAGCAAGAGCAGAATGTTTTAAGCCCTTTAAGTTTAAGATGAGGGCTATCTGTTTCCGGCCAGACTCAACCTGAACCCAGTGCTGTGGAGGACAGAGATTGTTATACATGCCCAGAATTAAAATCCAGAGACAAAGTCACAGAAAGCTGTGAGGGCAAGTAAGTGGCAGGTGCACACAGCCCTATATCCTCTAAAGCAGTGGTTCTCAAAGTGGGGCCCCTGACCGGCAGCCTCAGCATCACCCAGGAGCTTGTTACAAAGGCAAACCTCAGGTCCCACCCCAGATGTGCTGAATGTGACACTCTGGGGATGGGGTCAGGCAATCTGGGGTTTGACAAACCTTCTAGGTGCTTCTGATGCTTGTTTAAATTTGACACCCTCTGCCTTCAGGCAGTCTGGCCTGGTCTGGAGGATGCTAACTGGCCTTGGAGCTCTGAGGGGCTTGCATTAGGCACTGATGTGATGATCTTCACTAAAACAGGAATGGCAGGAGTGCTCCTGAGACTCCCCTGTCCCGTGCCCAGGGCACATGTCACTAATCATCCTGCCTGCTGAGTCCAGACTTCAGAATCCTTCTCAACACTGTGCTCCCTGCAGATACTGTCAATCAATTGGTGTTGGTCCATGTGTTAAAGCCTGTCAGCCAGGCCTGTGCCAAGCCAGTCCCCTCCCGAACCAGACATAACCATGGGGACTAGTCAGCCTGGCTGGAGGACCGGGCAAGACTCCTTTCTCAAATACTGAACCAATTAGAATACCCACAGTTATGAAAAGAGTACACAAGTTATCGTTTAAATGTATGCATTTTACTCAAGTGCAATTCCCCAAGAAGGTAAAGAAAACAGTTGAATGTCAGTAGCTTTATTAGGCAAGTTCTTTTCTAACTTAAAACTAATTTCCTGAAAATGTGTTGGAAAACGGTGCCAAATCATGTCACTGAAAAAACTAATGACAGAGACAGCTGAACAGGGTCAGGAATCCAACTGGGCTTAAGTGTCCACCTATGTCTAATTAGTGTAATTAAAATTTATGGCAGTCATATAACCGAAGCCCAAGGAAAATACACTCCAAGCAGACCCATAAATAAGTTAGTGCCAAGTCAGACATTATACCCAATGAAATTTCTAGAACATTCTACTGTAGATCAAGACAAGTCAAAAGTAAGGAATAAATATAAAAGAGACAAATAACAATGAGCAAATCCATTGTGTCCTCATAATTTTGCATTTCAATTTATCTGATCCACAGGAAGGCCTATCTGAGCCCAGCTAAAGTTAGTAGAATTACCTTGTAATATACACTAACTCATAAATATGCTATAAGCACACATATTTTAAACAGCAACTCCTTTTGAGTTTTCTGAGGTTTACGTGTGAGGAGCTCAAGATTCCCTTAGTCTCCCAGCTCCAGGCTCACTGCCATTCTACAAGCATTCAAGTTGCTGAAGGGGGCAGAAGAGGCAATCCTAGATAATCCTACTCTTTCCAGGAAAATCTCAAGTAATACCCACTATCAGAATAAAGAATGAGGAAAAAATGCAATTAGAAGAGGGAGGAGAGGCAAAGGGCAAGTTTCAAAATGACTGCCCACTGCGGGCACAAGATAACTAGCACAGAGGCCAAACATATGCAACGGACTGTAACTCTCCATGGCTTACAAGAACAACATGCAAGGACATATGGCAAGGGACAAGGTCCGCAGCAGAAACAAAATCTGGATGAAGCTGACTTCGCGTAGCCCATCTGGAAAAGTTGTTTGGGCTGTGTGAAATATTAGGCAAGCGTTTCTGTGCTCAAGAACTGTGCTTTTTTAAATAAATTCCACGATGATAAATATGATTGCATGTTTATTTCAGAGCTATATATGAATCTAGAAGACTATTAGCACATATTGGAAAGTGCAATTTCTTTCTCTATACCCATACTCCGGATGCAGACATTTAGCGCCCACTCTTAGCCGGGTTGAGAGGAGGCACACATGTCTGTCTGTCTGTACTGGAAGCCCAAAGCTCTAGAAGGATTCCTTCAATGATTTCTTGTACATTCACCATGGGATAGACAAGATGGCTTTGCCTTTAAAACAATAGGCCTTGTCTACTGTGCTGCTGGCCTGGAAACGAGCCGCCCGCAAGGAGTACCCTCCGTGTGATAGGTTTACTGGAGGAAACAGACTTTCTGCCTAAGGCTAAACACAGATGTCCAGGGCTCCGATGCCCTTCCTTCTACATGCATGCCAAACAGCTGGTCCATTGGTTAGAACTCCACTCCTGCGAGTGCCATCACTCCAATTCTGGGTAATAAAGGAAAAATAATTTCCAGAAAGGCTTTTTTCTGAAATACCATTTCAGTGAAATTGAACACATGGAAGCAAAGCAAGGTCATGATTAAAGTTTGCAAAAAAGAAACTTTTCCAAATTCATTTTTAAAGAGAACCAAGCGCAACTTAAAATTGGCAAGGTTTTTTTCCCCCTACAAGTCAACTGCATTCTTTATTGATGCTTATTTTTGACAGGTAATACACTTTATGGCCTATATATAATCTCTTACAAATGTCTCTAAAAGCTTTAAAATGTAGGTCCCTGTGCTCATGATAGTGAAGAAATGAAAGGCAAATCTTTAATCAAGCATTCAGGGTTCATATTTATTATGCGATTTCCAAATTCTATACCGTGAACAGGTCTAATGAAGACAGAAGCAAAATATGAATCAGTTTTTCCTACTATTTCTGCCGAAACACCCTTTCTGTTACAACCCAAGCACCATTAAATCATAAATGGAAACCTGCATTTACTCTGCAGAAACTGCTCACCCCTCACAATTCCCATGGAAATCTTCAATATGATTTGCATTTTTCTAAGGAAAAAAATGCACTCTTAATACTATACAGTTTTGAGGCATATTTTACATATCCAGAGTAATCCTCAACTATTTGAGTTTATACTTAAATTCTGCAATCTACTAGATAATTTCTCACATTCCCAAAATACTGCTGCTTTTTGGAATAGGAAACGGAACAGCAGGCAAGCCACGGTCCCATGTGACGGCGCTGAGATGTGAAGGATCCCACTGCCACCCTCCAGGACATGGCACCAGCTTAGATGCTCGTGCCTTCAGATTTCAATTACAGCTACTGACTTGATACTTCTTACAATTTCTCTCCTTAGTTTCTTTTTTGTAAATAGCCATTTAAACGAAAAGCAAAAGTTCAACAAAATCTCAGCTGAGATCTAAATCAGATGGACGATGAAATCACTTCAGCTGATTGAACTAAATACTGATAAACTAGTGTCCATTCACCTCAGCTCTATTCTACGTTGGAAATTCGAGAAGTGTGAATCTAGAATACGTGGTGTAAGAAGGATCCCCTAATACCCCAATATACTTCCCTGCCCTCACATCTTTTCCCCTGTGAACACACAGATCTTCAGAGAGCAACTTCTTTAAATGAAATCCAGACAGTCTGCAGGCTTCTTTCTCTTGGCCTGAATGGGGAAGATGAAGCTACAACGGCAAGGATGCTTTCCTTTTTTTCTTATAGCTGTGCCCTATCGGCAAAAACGCAGATACACAGTCATTTGAGAAATGAAGGAAAAATCCAAGCGACTGATCAAATTCAACTGGAATCCTAACATGACACTGATTCCTGACAACAGACGAACAGCAGGACCCATCCTGGCAACAAAGGCTAAGACACAGAGAAACTGGATGGGCCACGTGTTTTGTTCCTATCCAGACTTCGAGTGTTTCTATGGAAACAGCTACAGTTTGTGCACAGTTCTGGAACAAGTGCTCTTAGGTTAAAAATAAGGAGGCATCTGCGTCATTGAGATTGCTTCGAGAAGACTTGCTCCTCCAAACTGGCTTTGAAAAATTTGAAAACTCTTAACCAATAAAGTGAAAACATTCCTATCATAAGGTCTGTCTTGGAAATCCAAAGTGATGTTCCTGAAGGGAAAAGAAGAGGCAGTTGTTTGGGTATTTTCATGTGATCCAGAGTTGAAAATAGACAACTAGTCACCATGAAATTACACCATCACTTGGAATTATCAGTTCCACTTCCACAAAC